AGACACGACCTGTAGGAACACAAGAAATCAGAGACAGGAAACACACACTGACTGACAGAGGGGGGGGGGGAATAACAAAAGCTGACAATTAAATACTGAAACACACAAAGTGTGTGTGGTGAGGCTCCAGAAAGCCTCATAAAGCTGGAAGTTTTTTCTTCTATTGCTGATATTCTGGAGGAATCACAGTTTAACCCTTTAAAGCCTGATTCAAGAATAAAACAAAACAGAAACTTACTTTTAATGAAAATAAGTTCAAATGTAAGTAAATCTTTTTGCCAGATGTCCACTTAGACTTGATTAAAAACCAAAGAGAAGACGTGTGTTTTTAGGGAGGATTTGAACCCTTTAAAGCCCGATCCAAGAATAAAACAAAACAGAAACTTACTTTTTTTGGTTTGAATTCCTTATTTGGCCTTTCAACAAAATATGTAAAAAGAAAAAACAGAAATACATTTTCTGATATTAATCATTTATTACTATGTGACAAGTCCAGATTATTTTTTGTGTAGTCTTCTGCCCCCTGTTATCAGGTGTATCTGATTGTGTACAATAGGATTTTGAGCAAAGTTTTTACCATTAAATTATGCAAAAGGTGTCAGACGCAAAACATTTCAGAAACTGTATCAAATATGATACATTTGGCATTACAGGGTTAAAACCAGCAGGTTAAAGTCCAGCGGTCAAAGAGAAGTTTTCCCTTTTCCCTTCTGACCATGAGGCCAAAAACACACACACACACACACACACACACACACACACCCTTCTCTCTCAGGTGCTCCTAAAGTCCCTCCTTCCTCCCACAGTGGTGCCATAGCGCCCCCCAGTGGACCACAGATTAAAAGCTGTTTTCATTCCTGTTTTCTCTCCTCTTTTCTCTCCTCTCTCCTCCTCTTTTCTCTCCTCTTTCCTCCCGTTTTCTTTCCTGTTTTCACTCCCGTTTTCTCTCCTCTTTCCTCCTTTCCTCTCCTCCTTTTCTCTCCTCTTTTCTCTCCTCTTTCCTCTCCTCCTTTTCTCTCCTCTCTCCTCCTCTTTCCTCTCCTCCTTTTCTCCCCCCCCCCCCCCCCCC